GGCCCATAGTTTCAAGTTCCTCTAGTCTTTTTATCTTTTTAATATACTTTTGAGATTGTTTCACATATTCTGCTGCTTTATCTAGGATCTTCTAATGGGATGGGATCTCTTTCAGAGCGATTGGTAGTAGCAGCCAAACACCATCCAGTTCTGGTCTCAGAGTCATGGAGACTGATGTTCATATGCGCTTCATTTATCTGTTGAACTAAATGATTCCAAGCCTCTTCAATTCTCATCGCTCCTTTTGCTTCTGCACACAGAGAGACCAAGAGCTGCACCTTAAGATGGACAGTCACGAGCTTTTAAGATTCCAAAAACTTCTCACTAAAGTAGGATGTAGACTATTGTCATTGTGGACTGTGTTAGGCCAATTGACCATGGTGTCCCCCAGGCCCAGCCATCCATTGCCTTAATATGTTAGATAATAGTTAATAAGTCCTTATCATTTTGCCCTCTGTATGCTCCACAACATTCATATTTGTGTTCGCATGAAAGGTAGTACCTATGTACCAATATCCTCTTTCAAACTCCTAGGTATTTTTGAGATGGTGGTAGTAGGTAGTATGCTGTGGAGTCAGTTATGAGTCATCTTTCTCCCATGGATGGGCTGGTAGTTTCGAAATGCTAACATGGATAGATTTGGTAAATAGATTATATTCCTTTCTTCTTCCATACACATTCAGCCTGTGTCTCTGTCCATGTATCTACACAAAGAACACTGTTGTTCCAAGGTTGTGTATATATATCACTACTTAACTGTATTTCCTTTAGCCTGTGCATACCTCCCTATGCCTTCCCTAGTCTTCATCATTCTTCTGCCAACTTCCCTCTTCTTGTATATTGCCCTCCCTGTCACTGAATTAGTATGTATCTACCCTCTAACCAGTGAATTTTCTCCCTTACCTCCCACCTGTGATAACTACCAAAGAATGTTTCTTTAAAGTGAAATACTTTTCTTGAGTTTTTACAAAAATGGTCTCATACAATATTTGTCCTTTTGTGATTGACTAATTTCACTCAGGAGTCCTGGTATTGCACTACTAGTTAACGTGCGGGACTGCCAAGTCAGCTTGAGCTGCAAGGCCGGCGGTTCAAGCTCACCACCTGCTTCTCAGAAACCCTATGCAGGGTTGTTACAGGTCGGAACTGACTCAACGGCACTTAACAACAACAACATCAATTTCACTCAGCATAATGCACTTCAGATTCATCTAATGTTATAAGGATGGTTCACAGATTCATCATTGTTCTTCAACATTGCATAGCATTCCATTGTGTTTATGTACTAAAGTTTGTTTATTGATTCTTTAATTGATGAGCATTTAGTCTGTCTCCATCTTTTTGCTACTGTGAACACTGTTGCAATGAATATTGGTGTGTGTGTGTGTGTGTGTGTGTATATATATATATATATACTTATTTCCTGGGTCTTATTGCATCTGGGTATATACCAAGCAGTAGAAGAATTGCTACGACATATGATATTTGTATTTCCAAGTTTCTGAGGAAGCGCCATACTGGTTCCTGCAGTGGTTGAACCCTGTTACAGTTCCACCAGCAAAGTAGGAGGGTTCCAATCTCTCCACACCCTCACCAGCATTTGTTGTTTTGAGATGCTATCTCATTGCTGTTCTGATTTACAGCTCTCCAATGCCTAACGCTTGTGAACATTTCTTCATGTGTGGTGGCTGCCTGAATGTCTTCCTTGGTTAAGTGTCTGTTCATGTCCTGTGCCAATTTTTAAATTGGTTTGTCTTTTTCTTGTAAATGTGTTGTCATATATCCTTTTACATCGTAAATCTGGAGTTTCTTTGATCTAATTTCATTAGGGATCCCAGCCACTTAATTACTACCGAGAGAGTTGAGTATAGTCTAGATTTTCAGAAGGAAGTAAATCTGTGGTACTGTCCCTGGAACATTCAAATCTCAAGTTGGGGAAGACGGAGCTGACCTCTGACACGCAGCAACTCAAAGGACAATTAGTCAAAAAGGAGAAGGGGAGGCAGCCTTAGAGCATGCTTAGGTGGGTTACAAACGGTGGTGCTGGAAACCACTAAGAAAGAAAAAGACTTTAGCACAAAGCACTGGCATCATTTCCACTAGAGAGATTGAACTCAAAATGATGATTTCAACACTGGCTGCCCTAACAAATTAGTCTCCAACTGCGACCTCTGCCAAATGCATTTCTCCTCCCCCTAATGCAGAGGTGCTTTTAAATTAAAACATAGGGGTAAAGTGCAGAAAAGAGAATCATTTACAGCACTTGGGCCACTTGAAACAACTTTTCACCAAAGGTCTATAATCAAATTATCAAGCTCTTCAAGTCAGTGCTTTATGATGGAAACAAAGGCCCCACTAAAGTATTCCGGGTCTCTGGGCAGAGCAAGCACTGCAGCATCTCCATTCACACTGGCAGCATGAAAGAGAACAGACCACAAAGGGCAGATTACAAGGGAAAATGACTCCGGTGGGGGAAGGGCCAGGCGTGAATGGATTGTAAATAATGTTGCTAAGAAAGCAGCAGAAATATGGCAACCTCCAATAAGTGTCCTGCCAGAAATTCTTCCCATGCAGACTATTCCTTTTGGACTTTGTCTGCAAGTAAGCGAGAAATATGAAAACCTTATTGAATGCCTGGGAATATATATGGTACTCCCTTTCCCTGCCTTTTTAACTTGTAGCTCTTTGCAACATTTTTTTAAAACTGCTTTTCAAAAATCCAAATGCTTTATTAAAGAAGATGAAAACCGGAGAAAAAGTAGGTAGTCAGGATTAAAACACATGACCACAGGGATGGAGAGTCTTAACATCCTGTCTTCATAACCATTTCATCCGACTTCTTCATTTCTTTAAGAGCACCCTTCCTACCCTTCTGCAACCAGGCCTGCTCAATTTGTGGGTTTTGACCCCAGGGTCATCCTCAGGATCTCACACAGGCACATGCACAGCACAGACTCTCAGGGTAAGTACCTCTGAGCCTGACACAGCTATCAAACTGCTTATGCCACCTCTGTGATCTGAGTGTCATGCTACTCACAGCGGGTTATCATGCTATGAATGACAGGCAGGCTGACGCTTGTACTTTGCTAACATTCATATGGACTTCCCTCTGCTGTCCTCAGGAAGCACAGTGTTACTCAAATGATACTGACACAGGACAGCAAGCCTGAAACACACCCAGGTTCACTGTCTGCTGCACCCCATGTGCTCAAGTTCACTTCCCTGCCTTTTTCCCACCCCATCATTCACTTGAAATGTTTCTATTTCTAAGGTATCAACACGTGAGAGCTAAACCAAACCAAATCAAACCAAAAATACAACATTCTCCAACTACTTTTGATTGAATATTCTGATCTGTTAGGGGAAAAAAGTACCCTAGAAATCCAGTGAAACAGAATTAAAATTTTAGCCTTCCAATTTGCTATTCCATGTGTAATTCAAGAGTCAAATATACTCAGACACAGTCATCTACACACGCAACTCTATAAGCATATTTTAATAAGGGATGCCTATGCCAATCCAATCTAGGTTTTACACAAACATAGCTTAAGATCCACATCAGCAATATTAGGATCCAGATTTTCTGAAATCTACCTTTAAAAATTTCTTACAAATTACATTCAAAACCCGCTAAAAAAAAAGAACAATCTTTAGAGGACTAAGAATTGGGAAGAGGAGGAAAGTGATGGGGAGGGAAAGAGAGAATTAAAAGAATCTGGGAAAACTCAGGAGTTTTCTTTAGACTTAAATACATTTTTCTTACTTTATTCAGGATGAGACAAGGAAGAAGACCATGAACAAGGAACTGATTCTAAAACCTCAAACTCAGAACACAGTCCAAAAGGATTCCTTCATTAGGCATTCTGTTAATAACGAATGGATGATTCATTTCTTAACAATGCCAATATTTTCAATGAGTATATGCTGCATGTGTTTACTTTTTCTAAAGAGAGAAACTGTATCTGCCCCAAATGCAGGCTGGGCTGTCCACTAATAAACACCAAAACCAGTGTTCGAAAATAAAACCAGAAACAACCAAACTAAAACTGCCCAATAATTGAGCAGGATTTATAGAAAAATCAACTTCAGTGAATTAATGGCAATTTGATTAAAGGTTAAAATTTAAAACCTGTTTATATTTAAAGGCCTCATTATTGCAGAAGGCATGAAGTTTGAATCCAGTAAAAAAGTAAGAACTCAACAGTCACTTACTTTTTGCAAGATGACAGAAAGCAGAAAGAGCTAAATTTGAGAACCTACCTCCAACCACAATAAACTAGCTTAAGCTGTGAGGTACGGAAAAGAAACATCTTTTCTGGAAGTCACTACATAATTAAAATTTTATACACTCAATTTAAGTTACTGAATGACGTTCCCAGGGTTACTGTTTGTATTTTGAAGTTGTTCTTCCTCTTGACACAGTGTTCTGTTTAAAACTTTGCTGTGAATTGAAGTATCTGACAAAACAGCTTTCAAACACAATCTACAGGAAACATTATGAACTGCCTGTCATGAAACCTCACTTACCACAAAGTAAGATTAAAAAAACAAACAGTTAAAGTGTGTTACAATGTTCTTCCATTTTTAGAGAGCGACATAACCAATGCTTTCCCTGCTTTCAGATACAGGAACTATTTGGTGCAAACCTCAGCATTTTGTTGGGAGTTAATAGCAAACTCGACTCCTGTTTGCTTTTGAACTTTGGCCAGATCACTCAAATGACATTTTAGAATGCTCCTGTGGACAGCCTGCAGCAGCAATGTTGCTGCGATTACCCACTCTGATCAACTACCTTTGCAGCGCTCACTCCCCTTCGCCACTCCAGCAGCAGTGTGCCCCTCCAGGCCTGCTATCCTGGCGACTGCCAGGAGCCAGAAGGCCTGCAACGTTGCTTGGATCCACATAGTGTTAGAGATGATCTAACCCACCTTCCGCAGGCTCATCCAGAAATGGGCCAGGAGCCAAGCCGGGCCTCAGGAAACTGCCTCAGGAAAACTTACCCAGTGGAGCTTTCAGCCCCCATGCAGAGGAAGGACTGTTCTGGAGAGACTTCTGGTTACCTTCCATTCACATAATTTGATTGTGCTTCATTGCACACTTGCTACACCAGGCTTGTATTATGATTTGGGTCTGCCCACCAACTCCAAATATGCTCCATGTTTGGGCTTATGTAACATTTGCTACTACTGTAAAAAGCACTTGAATTACAAAGGTCCTGGCAGATCAACAGAAAACAGGGGGTGGAGTCTAATTTCATCTAATATGGTCATACAAGGCGTCCTGGCTGGTGTAAATTAATCCTTCTATTTGAAAGGCCACTTGCCTACACTGCGGACGATCGAAGTTAAAAACATAACCTGCTAAAATGTGAATTACTCATAGCCTACTTTTTCTGAATACCTTTTAAAATACTATTGCTACTGTAGGGTATATTAGAAAATTTATGATTCATTTGAAGCTATGGTAAACCTAGCTGTATGAAACATATTTTCATAAAGGGAAGAATACTTTCTCCACATGTGTTATTTCGACATGCTGCATACTTCAAAGAAAAAAAAGAGCTTATTTATTATACCTGAAAATACTTTTCCTTCCCAATAATCTAGTAACAGAAAGTTTAACCATTTTCTGTATAAATATATATAGTATACTTTCAGAAGAATATGCAACTGATTAACCAGAACTTAGTGTTCAATCACTGGATGACAGATTAAAACTCAGGATAATTTTGAGCCGAAAAATTCTCTCATTAAGTGGTTCTTTATAAACAGTCTTCCTGATCTGGCTAGCCAGCAAATACATTCCCCACAAAACTATGCTCTTCTTTTCAACCCCAAACCGTATCATGAAATAGACATGGAAAAGAACCAGCTACTGATTTGTGTTTATGATAACAAAGGATGCACACTTACATAAATAAGATTCCAGCTGGTAGTTCAGAATGGATATATTTAAATTTCAAAAGAATCCATCACCCTACAGAGATGATTTTGGTGAAAATCATGAATTACAAATGTAGAAAAGATCTAGAAGGGGTGGGGAAAAGATGTGAGGCAAGGGAAATGGCTTCTATCAGACCAAACACAAATTCTAAATTTACAGTAAAGCAAAAAATCATAGCCACAGTATTTCATTTGTCACTCTAAATATTCACTTCCACACCGTTATCAGCAATATTTAGATCCAAGTTTTTCTTACAGCCACATTAAAAAGCAGCTAAAATTAAAAGAGTCCTGGTGTGGCGCTGTGGGGTAAAGCACTGGACCGCAAGGTGAATTTGAACTACAAGGTAGGTAGTTCAAACTCACCGGCTGCTCCTTGGAAACCCTATACAGGGTCGCTATGAGTTGAAATTGATTCAATGGCACTTAACAACTAAACTATCGTGACACTTAAAAGATACTGGAGGAACACAAGGAAAGCACCAACAACAGGTCTCAGACGCACAGGGTGAGTATGTCTCCAAAACCTTTTCAAAAATTCATTAGCAAAAAAAAAAAAAAAAAAATTTGAGTTTGTGGCGCAGTGACATTATTCGATGTTTCTTCTAGCCACAGTCTTTGTAAACTCCCATAAAATGACTTTTTTCCTGATGGTCCTGGGTAAGAGAAGGTGGGGGAGATGCTGATGGATTATACAGTTCACCTGCAGGTGATTTGCATCCTACTGTGGCCATAAACACTTAGAAACTAATGAGAGGATTGGCCAGTGTGACCATCCTGAAGGGTTTAAAATGAGCGATTTTAGAAGCAGGAGGAGGAATCTTATTACCATCAAGGGAGAAGAGTAAGGAGTAGACCCTGAGGTCCTTTTGCAAGTGAACCTCCTTGACCCAGGGACAGAAAGCTGTGACACCGGTGGAATGGCAGAGGAACAACAGCAGCAGCAGCATCACCAAGAACCAGAGTAGCAGAGAGGTGGGCTGGGAGAGAGCAAGTAGAGCTTAATGCCTTTGGACAAGAGGCTGGCTCCTTTGTGGAGTAGGGGTGCCTCTAGGTACTTAACTGGGGAACTAGGTTTGCTGGCCCACAAAGCTAGAAATCAGTGTCTACAACAGGCTGAGGCTTACAGTGGAGTAGGGAGTCCTTTGGGCATTTATCAACAGCCCTAAAAGAGCTTTATAGCATTGTCGGAGCAGGGCAAAGGCCCAGCCAAGGAGTTGAGGGCCAGAGAGATAGGCCTGCCTTTGGGCACAGTGGAGGAGAGGCTGCGCTAACTTAAAGAACTGTGCCCTAAGCATTTCTGATCCTGCATTGTAACCTGTTTACTTTCCTAGTAAGTGCCATACTGTCAGTATAGTGTCTGAGTTCTGTGCGGCCACTGCAGTGAATTAATGAACCCAGATGAACAGCAGAGTGCCATGGGACGGCAGGTTGGCATTAGATTTTTTTAACCAAGGTTAATTAAAAGAAGGTCTTCTTTAGGTAAAATGAAAAGAAAAAAAAGTGCCATTACTGTATTATAGCTGAGTGCAACAGGTCTTAGCAATGTTCACTGTACCCACTTATTCTCCCCAAGGGGCAGCTAAGGAGTCTCTTTGATGGCATCGATTGTAGAACTGAACTGGGACAAGAAGACCTATCTAAATCTAAGCCTCAGTTTCACATACACTGTGTTCATGCATTTGGATTATGAGTTCTTGCTGGACTCCTAGCATAAAGGATTGCCTTTTGAATATTCATTTCCATAGACAGTGTTAGAAAGAAAAGCAAAACCAAAAAATTACTAGAACCAGCCAATCCACAACAGTGTGGGAACAAAGTACTCTTTTTTTTTTTTTTTGGTAACACTGAGGAAAGCCAGGGTGAATTTTAGCACATGTTGTTAAATGCTACAAACATACATTTAATTTCATCTATATGAAAAATATAAACTGATTTTTTAAAACCTACCAAAAAAAAAAAAAAAAGATGAATGATAGCATAGGCCAGGAAAATATGTCAAATCTGATAAAAATGTACCCAAAGGATAAAGCATACATTTAACTTTTAAACACACACATGTTCCTCAATGACCTGAATAAAATATTGAAGCAAATACCACTTTGTTCTGCTTGGGAAGCATTTGTTTTTAAATACTGTTCCAATATCCTAACCAAATAAAGTTTATTTTGATATTAAATCTCCCAATGAAGGCTCATAATTAAATATCTAGGTCTAGGGATATGGCTGTTATTTCTTTTCCCTTATGAAAAAATAAAGACTAAAAAGAAGATGACAGAGTAAAATACCATCTTAACAAAACCACACCTTACCGAACAAAAATTATCTGTATCAGCTGTGGTTTGCATGGTGGTGTGCTCTCAACAATTTCACTCTGGTACCCAAAGTGAGTCCTGAACTGATTAAAATTCTTCTATGAATTATCCCACTTACAGAAAACGAGCAAACAATCAACAGTTAAGAGGTCGAGAAAGGGTGAGAGTTGTGGCCCTCTGTTGAGCTGGAACATCCAACTTGCCAATTAACTTGGTATTCAATTATCTGGAAAACTCTTTAAGTTAAACTTGGTAGCAACAACAGTGAGCCTGCAGTCTGAGCATTTCTAGTTCTGTGACCTTGGGTAAGAGACTTCTGTCCCTTAGGCCCTTGCCTTTACCTGGAAAACACTAAAATCACAACCTCCTCTCACAGGGCTGTCCTGAGGAGAAAATGAGGTATTAACGAAAGGCCTGGTGTATCACAAACGCCTTAAACTTATTCAGGTAGTTCCTGACTTTAGGATGCATTCAAGTTATGACAAACTGCCCTATGACCTTCCCCCCTCCCCCCAACTATATAGGAGTACAGTGTTGTAGAGCATTAAATTGTTGATACTGTCTTTCTCAGATGTTTACTTAAGAGTTTATATGTAATGTCTCCAGTCTTCAAAGACATATAAAGATCTCAGATTTAAAAAGATACTGATAATAAAGGGCAATAATAATGAAACCCTAAAAAATGTATTAAATTTACTTGAGAACAGACTTTTAACAAGCTCACTGGAATGGAACTCGCTTGTAAATTGCAGACTACCTATAAATGTAGCTCTGTGATTAGAACCAAGGAGGACAGCATGTAAAAGAAAGGGAAAGGAAGGCAGGGCAGACATCCAGGAAGTTTTCTACTATAGAAACTAGTGAAATCTACAATCCATTTTGCCATTAGCTGTATCAAATTGCGAGAAGCCAACAGAAGTGTCACTCGGTGTTCTGTAGGGCAACAAACAAGCTGTTGGCAGTTATGAAATAACGTGTTCCTGTCACTGGAGGCAGCCGGCTCTCCATTTTACAGGAGCACAACAAGTCTCCACCAAGTCCACCCCACTGTCTCTGCAGGCCAGGTGGGTTATAATTGACCTTAATTGGCACTTACAGAAGCTTTAACATTCCTTACTTGCTGCCAAGGAACACTTGAAAGGGGAGAAAGTATTTTCAAATTTGGAAAATACGAAGCAATTCATTCAGCTGTGGGCCTAGAAGCCTGCACTCCAGAATCAGATTAGCTTCGCCAAGAAATGCTGCTATGTTATTATCCAGTGCTCATTAGGTACTCATACTAGATTAGGAGAGGAGGCAGATAATGTTTAAATGGAGATACTTCACCTTAGTGGATAATATACAACAGCCTTCCTCAAACTGGCATCATGTGGTCTGTTTGTGGATGGCTCTCCAAGGCTCAGCCACACTTCATGTGTGTGTCTCTTTTTAGCTGTTCAGTTGTTCAAAGGCAGGCAAATAAAATATATCCTCATGGCCTGATTTACATATGCTTTGTGTTAGCCATGGTCTGACCTCAGCCCAGTCATTATTTGATACACAAAGTGAACACTGTTAAAAGGCGACCAATCACACCAAATGCAAGGAGGATAATGAGATCAGAAACAAAATTGATGGTACTTTTTCATTGGCCCTCCAATCAATCTTACCCAGAATTATTAGCCTTTAGGAGGCTACAAGTTTTCCAGAGGATTAGATCATTCCCTAGGGTAAATTCCACACAGACATTTCCCAGAGATACCAGGAAAATTGCCTATAGTTTCAATGAACTGGTTAAAACAAAACAAAAAATCCTTACTGAAAGATTGCTGCCTCTTTATTATTATATATTGTCCAGACTCAAAAGACATCTGCACATCAGGAGCAAAGATGTTTGTGCTTCTTTGAGAAATTTACTTCAA